CAATGGCCTAGAGCCGTGGTCAGCAAACTGGCGGCTTCGAGAGCCACATGCGGCTCTTTTGCCCCTTGAATGTGGCTCTTCCTAAGCCTTAGGAGTACCCTAATTAAGTTAATAACAATGTACCTACCTATATAGTTTAAGTTTAAGAAATTTGGCCCTCAAAAGAAATTTCAATCGTTGTACTGTTGATATTTGGCTCTGTTGACCAATGAGTTTGCCGACCACTGGCTAGAGTAGTTTGTTGGTTTGTCTGGTTTGTTTCCTTGGCCTTGGGAGATGATTTTGGGAGTGTTTTCTCCTCCTCAGTTTTTTTAGAGAGTTTATTCACAGTAAAACTATCTGGTCCTGTTTTTTTGTTGTTGCTTTGTTTTTAATTTATTTTTAATTTTATTTTTTTCCATCACCATTTATCCCCTCTATGCCCTCTTCCACCTCCACCCCCTAACCCCCACAAATCACCACACTCTGTCCATGTCCATGAGTTCTCTCTCTTTCTTTTTTGCTCAAACCCCCCCCCCCCCCGCCACACACACACACACACTGGAGCTGTCTGCTTGTTCTCTATGAGTCTGTCTCTATCTGGGTTTTATTTTTTTTTGTTAGGAGGTTTTTGATTACTAATCCAACCTCCTTATTCATTATTGGTTTGTACAATGTTCAATTTTTGAAAATAACTTCATCTTGGTAGGTTGTATATTTCTAGAAATGCATCAGTTTCTTCTAGATCAGTGGTTCTCAACCTTCCTAATGCCTCGACCCTTTAATACAGTTCCTCATGTTGTGGTGACCCCCAACTTCATTGTTACAAATTGAACATAATTAAAGCATAGTGATTAATCACAAAAACAATATGTAATTATATATGTGTTTTCCGATGGTCTTAGGTGACCCCTGTGAAAGGGTCGTTTGACCCCCAAAGGGGTCACAACCCACAGGTTGAGAACCACTGTTCTAGATTATCAAATTTGTTGGTGTATAGTCATGACCCATGGTATTAGTGTGGTGTCATTTGTCAATTTAATCTTTAAAAAAAAAAACAATTCTTAGTTTTGTTGATAATTTCTATTGTTTTTCTGGTCCTTGTTTCATTTATTTCTGCTTTTAAGCCTTGTTATTTCCTCCCCTCTACTAATTTTGGGCTCAGTTTGTTCTTTTTCTAGTTTCTTCAGGTGTAAAGGTAGGTTATCTATTTCAGATCTTTCTTTTTTCTCAATGTAGATGTTTATCATTATAAAATTCTCTCTTAGAATCGCTTTTGCTGCATCCCATTAATTTTGGTATGTTGTGTTTCCTGTTTCCTTAGTTTCAAGATGTTTTTTGATTTTCTATTTGATTTATTCTCTTTATTTTTTATTAAATTTATTGGGGTGACTTTGGTTAATAAAATTATATCCTGTGTCCCATGCCCCATTCAATCTTTATTTGCTTCAGAGAAGATTACAATATAGGTTTTAAGTGTATAATTACATCATCTATAATTGTATTGTGTGTTTACCACACAAAATCACATCTTCCTCTGTCACCATGTATTTGATGCCTGTTACACTTTACTGCCCCCTCCACCTCTCTTCCCTTTGGTAACTACCATACTGATGTCTGTGTCTGTGAGTTTTTGTTTGTTTCTTTTTCTTATTTGTTCATTTCTTGTGCTCAGTTTTATATTCCACATATATGAATGCAATCATATGGCTCTTAATTTCTGTCTGACTTATTTAACTTAGCATAAAATTCTCAAGATCCATCCATGTTGTCACAAATGGCAGTATTTTGTCTTTTCTTATAGCTGAGTAGTATTCATGGTATGTGTATATGTATACATCTTCTTTATCTAACCAT